GATTGGAATTTTGTTAATAAAATGAAGGAAATTACTGGATAAGTGGATAAGAGAGAAACTTGAATGAAAATCGTAAAAGGGGAGAGAGGACATTGACGGTAAACAGACGAACGGGAATTAAAATGACAATTTCAAGAAGAAAGAAAGATTAAAGAAGCTTAAATGTTGCTTTTGACCTACTTAAAACGAAAAATGGTGAATAAGAAGCTTCAAGCACGAAATCACGTGAAGTGAAAATTGCAACACCGTTGCACAAAAATTACCATTTCCATCCATTAAACAAATTAACAATGGACACCAAAGTTCATATACTTTAAAATTTCAGAGATTTTTGCTTGCATTTATTTTTGAAGCTTTTAAGAATGAACAAAATTTTGTGACTATTTCAGTAAAAACTGTAAACATATATTGCTATCATTTTTGCAATATCCATTCGTTTGAGTAGCAGGATCTGTTTACCCTTGCGGGGCACCTGAGATCACCCCATTTTTTGGTTTGGTTCGTGTTGCTCATTCTTTAGTGTTCTATGTTGTGTTTTGTGTACTGTTGTTTGTCTGTTTCTTTTTTAGCCATGGCGTTTTCTGTTTATTTTCGATTTATAAGTTTGATTGTTCATGATCAGTAATTATTTGAATTTTCCGATATTATTATGTCACCCAGTACCCGTAAGCGATAATATGCCATTGATCTATACAGTTTAAGTGCTGAAAACGTTATTTAACTAGAGGCTCTAAAGAGTCTGTGTCGCTCACCTTGGTTTATTTGCATTGTCAACAAAGAACACTCTCCAACATTGTAGACAGGAATAGAATTCATGACAAAAATCTGTTTTGTTGATCTTGTATTGCTGATAATTTAGCTTATTTAGTTTCTTTCTATCTTCTTTTGTTTTTGCTCAAAACACAAAAGAGGACAAAAAAAATCCTCATTTAAGGACAACCACTCCTATAAAGAGTGACAGTCTACTAAACTATATCGGCAAACTTTGACTTGTTAGTAGATCTTGACTTGCTGATCATTTTTGTGATTTAAAGTGTATCTTTATCTATCATAATTTTCTATCATAGATGGTAAAATGCAAAAATAAAAGTGAAAATCGCCTTTAAAGGGCAATAACTCCAAAAAGGAGTCGTCTGACCATTTCCTCCATATTGTCTTCATTGTAGATTTTGTATTATGATCATTTTTGTCTATCTGTCTATTATAATGTTAAGATATAAGGTAAAAACGCAAAAAATGGTCAAAATCATCATCAAAGGGCAATAACTCTAATAAGGAGACGATTGACGATTTCGACCATGTTGACCTATTTGTAGAACTTGTCTTGCTGATTATTTTAAAGCTTCTATGTATTTATTATAGGTTTCAAGATAGTAGGCAAACATGAAAAAAATGGTAAAATTTGTCATTTAGAGCAATAACTCCTATAAGAAGTCATCTGACAGTTTTGACATGTACGGACAATTGGTAGAGCTCCACATTTTGAACATGTTTGCTCTTGTCAGATTTTCTCTCTTTATAATGGTTTTCAAAATAATAGACAAAACTTGCATTTTACCCCATATGATCTATTTTTAGCCATGTTGGCCATGTTGGTTGACAGGCGTGGTCATCGGACACATTTGTTTAACTAGATACCCCAATGATGATTGTGGCCAAGTATAATTAAATTTGGCGAAGTAGTTTCAAAGGAACAGATTTTTGTAAAAGATTACAAACATTTACGAAATAGTTAAAAATTTACTATAAAGGGCAATAACTCCTGAAGGAGTCAATAGATAATATTGGTTATATCAAATTATTTGCAGATCTTACTTTGCTGAACATTATTGCTGTTTACAGTTTATCTCTATCTATAATAATATTCAATATAATAACCAAAAACTGCAAAATTTACTTAAAATTACCAATTCAGGGGAAGCAACCAAACAACAGGTTGTCTGATTCGTCTGAAAATTTCAGGGCAGATAGATCTAAACCTCATTAACATTTTTAAATCTTCTCAGATTTGCTCTAAATGCTTAAGTTTCGGAGATATAAGCCAAAAAATTGCATTTTACCCCCATGTTCTATCTTTAGCCATGTCGGCCATGTTTGTGCGCAGACGGGGTCATCAGACACATTTTCTAATCTAGATACCCTAATGATGATTGTGGCCAAGTTTGGTTAAATTTGTCTCTGCAGTTTTAGAGGAGAAGATTTTTGTAAAAGATTACAAAGATTTACGAAAAATTGTTAAACTTGACTATAAAGGGCAATAACTCCTTAAGTGGTCAATTGACAATTTTGGTCACGTTTGACTTATTTGTAGATCTTATCTTGCTTAACCTTATTGCTGTTTACAGATTATCTCTATCTATAATAATATTCAAGATAATAACCAAAAACTGCAAAATTTCCTTAAAATTACCGATTAAGGGGCAGCATCACAACAACGGGTTGTCTGATTTGTTTGAAAATTTCAGGGCAGATAGATCTTAACCTGATGAATATTTTTACCCTGTCAGATTTGCTCTAAATGCTTTAGTTTCAGAGATATAAGCCAAAAACTGCATTTTACCCCTATGTTCTATTTTTAATCATGTCGGTCATGTTGGTTGGCAGGCGGGGTCATCGGACACATTTTTTAAACTAGATACCCCAATGATGATTATGGCCAAGTTTGGTTAAATTTGGCCAAGTAGTTTCAGAGAAAAGGATTTTTGTAAAAGTTAACGGACGACGGACGACGGACAACGACGACGGACGCCAATTGATGAGAAAAGCTCACTTTGCCCATTGGGCCAGGTGAGCTAAAACGATTAATGTAGATCAAGCCCATGAATAGAACTACACACTTGTAAAATGAGAAAGCGGGCCAATCAATTGACCGACAATGTCGCATTACTACAACATTTAATTGTGTTTTGTCTAGAAATGGCCATGGTAATTAACAAGTTTCAATCCACCTTTGAATTTATATTAACCTGATCAGGTAACTCACATGGTGTTCTACATCAAGAACGGTAGAAAAGTAAACACACATAAAGCTTTAAGCAAGGAAAGTTTCGGCCTTCTACGAATGATGTTATGAACGGTCCTTTTTTTAGATGATACTAAAAAGAGATACTTAGTTACTTAAAAGTAATAAGTAAAAAAGAAAACAGATAAGAGAATGGAAAAAAAAACGCATGATAAGACTAACGGCAGTCAAGAAATCGCTACACAAAAATCTAACAATTGAGGAGGACCAACTCCACTATCAACCGAGGGTGACTGAATGTGCTGAAGAAGGGTCAGCAGTTCCAGTTCAACAAGTTCAACAAGTGACACCTGCCTTGGGGCTCCTGATCAATTAGATTGGTGAGTCATAACCAGTAATTTGGTATATATCATATTATAATGGATTTATTAATGTCTCTTTTCTAAACCTTATAATCACAAAATTTAAAATATGTAACCTTTGGTACATGTTAATTATCTTAAACGTGACCGAATGTGAACGTTTGAAGTTGGATAAGGTTTCCAAGGCTAGTACGATGGATAGACAAGACTTTTACAGGTGTCACAGGAGGGTGCGGAGTTTCTGGACAACTGACACCTATTGGGTTGTTACTCATTGCAAGTAGATATTCGGTGATCATCTTGATTTTACCACACTCGACGAATAAGAAAGGATTACGACAAGGAAACGTAGAAAATATTCATTATCATTCATGACTCATACGGTCCTAAACGTTCAAACAAATCCTAATGACGTCCTGAAAACGTTCGAATGTTTCCATTTAGAGGAACTTTTATTAAATTGTCTTTCAAGCAATCTCAGGAATATTGTATGAACCGCAAAATGCAATTTAATAGAAGTAATTTCAGCAAAGCCTTGTCTTAATCTTATTTATTTTTCCTATTTGGTGGCCATTTTGAAAAAAATGAAAAGTCCTATTTAACGTCGTGACTTACTAAAAACGTTGGATTGCATTTGATATGTTTTCAAATGATTTGATTTGAATATTATTTGCTTGAAATTATATATAGTTGTGAAATATGGACTTTTGAGCAGACATCTTGAAAATGATGGCCATATTATATTTTCCAGAGTGGGTCCATATCTTGAATATATATCTACAATTGTGCAACGTTTCATGCTGTTATCATTAAACCCACAATTCATATAAAAGTATTCACGAATCAGCAGGACTCTATACATATTTGAGAGATTTGTTGTTATTTTCTGAACTTACGTAATTATAGTTTCATCAAGGTACCTTTTGCTTATATACTTATTTAGATTGAATTGGGACAGTTGGTGCTAAAGAAAACTAACCCGTTAAATTTCTCCGCATGTTCATGTGTCTGTCAACGGTTTTAAATATGTGTGTCCTTTATGAAATTGGTATTCATTTTGATGGTACATTGTAGTAGATACTATACTGTCAGCTAAATCGATTCAGTTTATTAGACAACGAAGACTTTGCTGGACATTTTGTCAACGACATTTTTCTATTGAAGATCATAAATTAGTATCTATAATTATATTAATCCTTTGATTTGTTACGTATTGTTTCGTTTTGGTACTTTTGTTTCGCTTTTATATCGCAATTAATATACCCGCATTTCATTATTCTTTCCCAGATGAAACCTAGAGGATTATAATTCAAATCCAGTTTCTTCCACTACGTAACACGACCCAATCCCAATGTGAAGGGGCGTAAATGGTTTCACTCGAGCTAAAAGAGTGTCCCATTGGTAGCAAGAAAAAGACCCCTGCGAAAATCTCGTTATGAGTAAATCTGTTTCCCTTCCAAATTCTATATACATTTCTATTGGCGGTAAAAGTAATTACCATGATTACGCCTTTATCATTGTTTATGTCCCAACCATCCATTTCTCGTTCATTTTCGTTTCATATTTATTACATACCATCTAATTATTTCATGGACATTTTCTATTTTGAGTTGAATGGCGTGATATTCCAACAATTAATCGGCATCTATCATTGTATCTATATACATGTATTCATAAACGTTTAGACATTGTTTGTATTTTTTGTTTAAACAAATTAAAAGATAACAAAACAAGCACTCCAAATCCGTAAATACGTAATCCTCTCTTTAATCTTGAATTAAAGTTTTCTTCAGTTTAAAATCAATCTATTTACGAAACACTAATTTGACAAGTGAAATTAATCCTCCCATTATATCAGACAATAATCCGTCTTTTTCGTTTTCAACATTATTTCTTTGGTTTTTTCTTAACGCATTTTCTGTCATTTTTTGTTGGAATTCATCTTCAGTTTTCTTTATTTGATCTTGCAATTCTTTCTCTTTTTTCTCCAGCTCCCGGTTCAGTTTTTCACTTGCTTCTTGAAGTTGTTTCTGTAGATTTACTTTGTTTTTCTCTGATTCTTTTTTATTGGAGTTTAAGGCTTCTTCCAATCTAGTTTTCTCTTTCTTTTCCTGTTCAAGTTTTTTCTTGTATTTATCTTGTACTTCATTTCTTATCGTTTGTTTTTCTTCTTCCTTTTGCTTTTCTAATGCTTCCTTTTCAATAAGCATCCTTCTCTTTAGGCCAGATTCTGCTTCTTTGTATAGTTCATTTGTATAACAGTATCCCCCATTTTCACTGCACATCGCCTCTATCATTTCAAAAAAGTCATCAACTTGCTCCGTTTTCGAATGTCCAAAAGGATCATTGTAAAACGCAATGAATCTATTTCTGCACTGACTCAGTATAGTTTTTAGTTCATTCGGAACAGTTTCAACGTATTGATCAATCGATTGATTATGTCTGATAAGTTCATCCTTCTTAGTGAAAAGAACAATCATATGGCGAAACACACCTTCACCAAAATGATTAATAAAGTGTTTGACTGTATCTTCTTCTTCCTGCGTAAATCGACCGACACTTACGACAAGGACCATTGCATGAGGTCCGGGTGACGTCATAACGATACATTTGACTATCTCCTTAGTAACAGCTTCATTCGTCGTTTTCGTATCGAATAAACCCGGGGTATCAACTATAACTACGTTTTTCCCTTTCCGTTCAGATTCTCCGCGTTTACAATTTCCAGTCACTGAAGTACCGGAATTTTTGGATAGAAAATAATTCCGACCTAAAAGACTATTTCCTGTTGCACTTTTCCCAGCTCCTGTTCGTCCAAGAAGTACTATTCGAATTTCTTTATCTTCTGCACTGGCTTGTAAGTCTACAAAAGAATGAAATGCAAGTTATGATTTATTTAATCAAAGTGTATTACACGTTTATAATCTTTAAAAGTTAAATATCCTATTTTAGGAAAGGCTTCTTTTTTGTTATTTTTGGAAAATCTTGAACTAATATAAGCCAGGTGTTACCGTCCGAAAGAGTCCGTATACATAGCTAATTTACACTGATTTTTGCAGAAGTGAAACTACAGTTATATTATTTTGATTATTGTTTATTCGTATTACTAAAGCCATCATTTTTTTTTTTACATTTCACAACGTACATGAAGTATGAAATTACAAACAATCAGTATTATCATGATGGATAAACTTCTTTTTAGCTCTCTGCACATATTTCAGTATTGAGAACATGTGTTGGAATTTAATCTTTCATAATGTGAAGTCAAAAGCCAAAAATATTAAGACTTTTTTTTTTCTATCAAAATCTGATGACTCTTTAGTGTATATATGACAACTATTAAGTGTTCATGATCAATAGAGACTAGGTAAACTTAAATTGTACATTCCTCGAATATGTGTTGGATTTAGATCTTCAACTTGTTTTTTCATTACTTCTTCCGTTAGTTTTTCTGAAAAAAAATTAAGTTACTCCAATAACAATACATCAAAACAAAACATTTATTATGCATTTCGTTAGTCTGTTTTTAGTTCTAACTACGCACATGTTTTGAATAAGATTATCTTTGATGTTTTAATATGAAGTTTTATCAATGTGTCCTATTGTTTTCTCTGTTTCTGTGGGTTTTTCCCCTTTTGTTTTGAACCACTAATATATGAATAAAAGTAACTAGCTGTTAATATACGCTGCTAAAATTTTTCCACCTTCTGTCGAATAAATAAAAACAAATCGAAGTATAAAAATAATGTCAGCTTTTGTTTACTATCAGCTAATCCAATTTTATTGGTTTGACACTATCTAGTAATTCACAGTTTGCATGTTAAACAACAAAAGAATATTCCAGGTTATTCAATCAACCCTGACGTACATATGTATTAAGTTGTTCTTAACAGTCCTAGTGATTGGATAAACCGTATACAAAATTCAGACACTATGTGGACCTTTTGTCTGTATTGTTTAGGTAAATATGTTGCAAGTTTGCTGTCTGCTCATGTTTACCCAAATTATCATCTATTACCAAAAAGCAATTTCTCTGTAGCCGTTTAAAATCAGAGCATGTGATCTTAAGAAATATGTTTAATATTTTCTGAAAATGTATTTTGTATTACTTAAACATTGGAAATACTAACTTATTTTTTCATCTTGTTCCTCAGTTTTCTGAAAGAAAATATTGAATAAGAACATTTTACTTGAAGCTTTAATTCATATTTGACTATATCAAAAAAGAAAGTGAACTCTGGCGCTTTATAATAGTAATTTCTTTTTTGTCTCTACCGCCTTATAAATACATGCTAATTATTGGAAATAAAGTCGTCACGTCATAGAGGATTTTATAATAAAAAAAAAACATTCCAATAATAAAACGATATAAAATATGCAGAGAGATATCATTTAAGTATCATTCTTTAAAATTTGATTATATTATGTCGAGCGGTTTAGAAGAAAATAAGAATGAAATTAATGACATCATGATGTACTAAAAGACAGACCACATGTGTGTACTACATTTTTCATTCAATGCCACTTTGATCTGCCGATTATGGCAATAGCCAATTCCCTTTTTTATACACAAGTAAGTAATACGTGTGTTATAGTCCTTGTAGACAGAAAGTAAACGGATTGACGTGTCCAGAACATATATAACTGAAACTGTTTGAAGTGTATTGGTTATGCCATGGTCACATATATTTTTTTCTTCAAATTTTACATACACTTTCTAAATTTCTTATCCTTTCCCATGTTTCCTGTAAATCGTTTTCTAAATATTTTAATTCTGTCTGCACTTTGATGTTCTGATTGTAATTTTCAGTCGAACAATTCTGTACATATTCACTGAGAACACGTGTCTGTCTGCGTATTTCACACACTTCCTCTAAGCCAAGCGGTGTTCCACTCAGAAATATCAAACCTGACAAAAAAAGAAAGGCTGTAGAATAACTGTTGCGGTAACATACTGATAACTTAAGAGGTTTGTTATGTGTTGAAGCACGGCATGTTTTGTGTTGCAACTTTCTGTGATTTTGTCATTGAAATTTATGTTGTGTTCTCAAAGATATGGATGACAACAATGTGTTGTGTGTTGTACATGATATTTTGGACAGTTTGGTATTCATTTTGTGTTATCTGCAATGACAGTCATGGCAAATATTTTTTGTGACATCTGTACTTTTGGTCACTATCAATATATTTTGTGTCATCTGGAATTTAGGTCAAGATAATAGAGTGTGTCTTCCGGAATTTTGGTCATTACAATATATTTTGTGACATCTGAAATTTGGTGGCTAAGTTGTATTTGATGTGATCTGTAATTTTGGTGAATGCAATAGATTTTGTGGCAGCTGTGTTTAAAACAGTACAATAGATTATGTGTCATTTGTGACTTTAGTCATTTCAATATAGTTTGTGTCATTTTTAATTATGCTAGCTACAACATTGTTTGTGTCATCTGTGATCTTGCTCACTAAAATATTTATGTGTCTGAAATTTATATAATTAGATTGCAATGTGTATTCGATTTTGTTGAGAAAACTTAATGGTTTGCCGATTCTTTTTTGGGTCACAGCAATATTTATGACTGTTGTCTATGTTTGGGTCACAACCATATATTTTATGCCATCCACATATATTTTGTCATTTGTTTGTTTGATCACATAATTATGTTTTACGTTGTCTGTGATTTGGGTCCAAACAATACATTATGTATCGTTAATATCTTATATTATGACTGCTATTTTGATCAAAATATAGTGTTTTTAACAATAATGGTTGCATTTGAAGCGCATAACTGGATTTACCTTCGTCAAGAACGCTTAAACCAAAACACTGTTAACCGGGACTGCTCTAATCCGCTATATGACCGAAAAAGACGTAAACAGAATTAGCAAATCAATCTGAGGTCAATTTGCCCCAGGGAATTGGATTCGTGGTATCTAGATAATTTCTTAATTTATGAATGAGGAACTTTCTATCAGAATATGTTGTAAAGCATGTCAGTATCAAAGCACTAATCAACACAGAGCTTCTGTCCAATTTCATAAAAGTATATACGTTTTGACAAAAGTTATAATGACTGAAATTTTAACCTTATTCTGGATCTTAATGTTTAATGCAAGCAAATTAGGTCAATTTATCAGTGAAATACGAACAAAAATAAAATAAGTGACACCACTAACGCCAACGACGAAATTTAGTATGGCTATTTTTCGCTTTCGCGACAAAATGTTGTAGGCTGCGACAAAAAGTTCATTGAACATACAATACATTTGTGTCATTGTGTACCATTTGTTTCCCATGTGTTTAGTTGACTCAATATTCTCTTTTCTTCTTCGTTACTCAAATCAAGGTCCTTAACAAGTTGGCTCATTAACTTGAATGAATCTGTATATTTTCTTCTAGTCCATTCTCTAAAGTCACAATGTGCCCAGGGATTACGTATGTCTACTCGCATCTGAACAATTGAAAACATGTGAACTAGTTTAACAATTCCATAAATGAAGAAATCAAAATGTCTGTATTTGAAAATTAAAAGGAAAAAGTACTTCTTAGGAAGCAATTGACGGTTGTCGTTGGTATGTGTCATATTTGTTATTTGTAAATTGTTTTGTTATACATTAAGTCGTTAGTTTTCTGGTTTGAAATGATTCACATCTTTCATGTCAGGCCTTTTATAGCCGACTATAAGTTATGGGTTTACCTCATTGTTGAAGGCCGTACGGAGGTCTATAATTGCTTTCTTACATTTCATTTTAACTCTGCAAATAGTTGTCCAATTGGCAATCATACCACATGGCCTCATTTTTATACTAAAACCAAATATATTTCCAAATCTTATCAATTAGAAAAAGTATTTGTTTTTGCTAAATTACATATCGCATTGCTTTTAAGGACACAATATTTATATACTATGGGTTATGTGGCTATGCTGGTTGAAGATACATGTAGTATCAAAAGTACACGAACAGTCATGCAATTACTCGTCTATAAAACTATTTCGAAAATTGTTACCTTGTCAGTACCCGTCGTCTGTACACCCGAAGAGAAGGAATTGATGTTGATAACCATCAACTGATACAGAAGCTAGCTCGCATTGCTAGTTCATTACTTTAAATTGAAAATTGTCCTTTATATTTTTTAAATGTATACCTTTTTAGCATCAGTCCGTACAGTTGTTGAAAATGTACTGATGTTGATGACCATTCCAAGCAGAGCAGATGTGTCACATGACTCATCAATTCCAGAGTAATGAACCATATGAGGCTGTAGGAACAACTTTGACAGATCCACATGGCTTGTTACTTTATAATCATATTTCTGGTAATCATTAACCCATTTGTGTCTGATCATTTTTTTCGCTACATTCATGTTGTTGTTGATTGATTTGTAAATAAGAAAATGTTCGTTTGTTGCTGGGTATTTTTTCATATATCCATTATACCCCTGTGTATCGACAGAGTCGCTTGATACCAGTGAGTCATACAATTTACTAATTATAGGATTAACAAAGTTTCTTAGAAGTGGAGAAATAACGGAGTGAAGACAGATCCCTACAATCAGCCATCTTTTCTTTTCGTCATTCAAATATCCAGGTGGACCTAGAATTTAATCAACATAAGAGAGGTGGAGCTCACACAATCGACAAAATGTAAGTGAATACAATTATATACTATATCATCTATCCTTCCATTTCCGTTAACAACAATCGTCCTTTTTCTGGTTATAATTTCTCTGTTTTTGAAGAAAACAATTATTTGTTTAGAAAGGAAAAAAAAAACTATTGAGGAGTAGACTAATCGTATGTCTTTTCAAAGGAAAGCAAACTAGTGCGAACAAACAAATTGATTCTATTGTTACCAATCCTACACTAACAGATTTATACTTTCTTACAAAATTATTTTTTTTTAATTCCTTTATTTTTTAAAAAAAGTGTTTCATTATAAACATATTTTCTTTAAAATCAATCGCCTTGATGGTTTCCAGGTAGCGCGCTAGCTTTGAGTGAGCATGGTGGGTTGTTGGTTACTTGAAAATATGTATTTGCACTCTCTGCTTAGCTCATGGAATTGGGTTTAACATGAGCAACACGACGGGATGTGGATCAGATTCTGCTTGCCCTTCCAGTGCACCTGAGGTCACCATTGGTTTTCAAACTGGATTTGTGTTACTCCGTCTTTAGTTTTTTCTATGTTGTGTTTTGTGTACTGTTGTATGTCTTGTCGTCTTTTCCCTTTTTTTTTGCCATGGCATTGTCAGTTTGATTTCGACCGATAAGATTGAATATCTCTTTTGAATCTTTTGCCTCTCCTTTGACATATATTGTCCTTATATGCATGTATTATTAATCACTCGACGATAAACACAAATCCATTATCATCATCCCTTAAAATTTATATGTTAAAATGTGTTTACCTGTTCATCATCCTTCCCTTGCTAAAGTTTAGAAATAACAGAATGACACAAAATATTAAGTCCGCCCGTGTATGATAAAAACACAAGATGTATACAGCACTCAGTTGACATAAGAACAATGAGTCAACAATGACAATCAAAATATGAAACTCACTTTTTAGCACATATCAAAATCCCTGTGTGTGGTTTTTTTTTTCTCTCAATAAAAACGTTTGAAAGTCAGGGGAACTTCTTGTACAAGTATCATATTATTTATAAAAACAAGTGCATAATTTCGGAGGTACAGTTATCTCCCTTAGATAGACTTTTCTCCACTTAAATAACTCAGAAAATGTTTTTTTTTCTCTTCAACAACTTTACTTAATAGCATTGTTCTAATAGAGTGTTTAAAAATCTGCCATTACAATTCATAAAAATACCATTCCATGCACAATGAAAACATATTTTTTTATGTTTTTTTTTTCTTCAAAATATTGCCTATTTACAATCCTCCAGAAGAAATTTTTAAGGTTTTGCACAATTACGTATCATCTGTGTTTCGATTGTTATAATCTTCTTAAAATAAACGTTTAAATAACTTGTTTAAAAGTGATGCGAAAACAATGAAAGAATTATTCTAGGGTTGTTTTGCCTTCCAAAAACATTCATATTATAGGATTGGTAAAACAAATGCTAGTAACAATATTTAGTAACTTGTATGGAGAGATTATTAAAATATTGATCACAAAATCTAAATGGAACGGATTTACTTAAACTTGTAGGTTATTATAACATATATCTTCAAATATGTTAACAACAATTGTATAACTGTATCCTTGACTGATTTAAAGTCAGGCTTATCCAAAAGTGTTTTGTATTCAGCTATATGTTAAACATGTTAAAGCTATACACACTTTTGCTACCATACATTTTGGACTAAGTAAACCAACTCAATAGTCTCGGAGTTGCTTCTTTGCCTAGTGTCTTGGGATCGTGGTTATGATGCCCAGCTAGATCAAACCCAACAATTGAAATTGTTATTTTCTGTTTTTCTCTTATACATGCGGCACTGTGGATTAAACAGCTAAGACTGATCAGAATGTGTTAAACAATTGTACAAGTCCTTCTATACATTTTCTTGTTTACTGGCACTTTAAAACTCCTGCTCTTTGTGTCGTTCTGTTATAAAACATACTCATATAAGATAAACTCTTTCTCATGCAGAAATGCATGCAATATTTGCAATGCAAATTAATTATCATAATGTAAATAGGTTTGCATGTTTTACAATAAGAGTACACGTGTTATTCACAACCTATTGAGTACCTGTAATCCTTGGCACTTTATTCTGATCGTCTTGTCCCTGTAAACCAGGTGTAATTATCCGTTTTAATGGACTAGCTGCAGCTTGTGCGTTCATTCTGTAATGTTTAATATATCATACTCTTCTTTTCGTTTAAACATTTATCTTTGGAAGAGATATTCCTGTCCTTCACAATATTAAACAAGAACTGCAAATATAATAATACAAAAGCTATAATTCCAATCCCAAAAACTATCAAATTACACATATTTGTTATACATATTGTCGCTGGGCTTCCAAGTCCAAAAACTGCTTTTTCCTTTTTCACGAAACCTATTTGACGGGAGGAAATCTCTGATATTCCAAAATATCATACATTAAAACCAACTAATAGTTACCAGTACCAGTACCAGGCTTATAATTTTATACGCCAGACGCGCGTTTCGTCTACATAAGACTCATCAGTGACAGACATTTTTTAATCCCCGAATGCATTTAATATGTACACATGTAACTATTTAGCGTATTTGAATGATAGAGATCTTTTCAATAAATACAAAAAAAGCTATGATCGATATACTTTTATGGATTCATTTTGGATATACTTTGCCTTTTTTCGGAGTATGACCAACATGACACCTCTATAGCCTCGCTTGCCCTTATTAGACCTTGGGAATGATTTTAAAATATAATAATATGTTAATATAAAAATAAGAAGATGTGGTATGATTGCCAATGAGAACTCTCCACAAGAGACCAAATGACACAGAAATTAACAACTATAGGTCACCGTACGGCCTTCAACAATGAGCAAAACCAATACCGCGAATAGGCCCCGAAATGACAAATGTTAAACTATTCAAACGAGAAAAACTGATTTAAGTACAAAATAAACGAAAAACAAATATGATATACAGCAACAAACGACAACCACTGAATTACAGGCTCCTGACTTGGGACAGGCACATAAAGAATGCCTACTCAGGAAAAGCTTAATTTCCCTTATATTATTCTCATGTAAAATGTTGCTGGTTCGACCCAACGAAATGAAAATCTTTAGAAAAAGACATCCTATCATATTTATTCACAGTTTTAAAACATTTCGAATTGTAGTTTTGAGGTCTGAAATAGTCTAACACGTTTAACAACCCTTTCAACCAGTCCGAAAAGTCTAAGGCATGTTGTTTCTTAACTAAGTCATAGGAAAAAAAGTGTAAACTGAAATTGTAATTCCTCTTGTAAGGGTTTTATGTCAAATGTCACTCGTTGTTCGCCTGTTTGACATCCTAAATACATATTTCAGCATATTTCTATTTGAGGTTTCTGTTCGTGCTTCAAGTGCACAAATACATGCTTAGATACCAATTCTTTGTGGAATCAATACACTAAATACTTCTAAGTCGACCATAGAAAAATTGCGACAACTACGTGGCTGGTGGGATTAAATGCCCACAGCGCTTCGGGGGCAATTGATAGCAACTGTCATGCCATTTAGACCACACACGGAGCCTCGGGTACAATTTTATTCCAGATACCGGCATTGCATACATATTAAAAATTATAAAATTGAGAATGGAAATGGGGAATGTGTCAAAGAGACAACAACCTGACCAAAGAGCATAAAACAGCCCAAGGCCACCAATGGGTCTTCAACACAGCGAGAAAATCCCGCACCCGGAGGAAGGGCTTCAGCTGGCCCTTAAACAAAAATGTGTACTAGTTCAGTGAAAATGGACGTCATACTAAACTCCGAAACATATAAATGAACTAAAATTAAACAACATACAAGACTAACAAAAACCAGAGCCTCCTGACATACGCATGTTTTTCTGTGGACAATATATACATATATAAGAATCATGTACATTTGTTTTTGTAAAATTCACACGCAGTAGTTTCGTAGGAAAACAGGATGATGCTCAACAGTTTAATTACTACCTTCAATTTACCAGTTATGGAATTAGATTTCCCCTTGGAATTTGTCATTTTAGGCAATAAATTATATCGTATGTCGTTCTCCGCTCGGTACCCTCTATATTCGTCGTAAACTTAGAGCTACATGTAGACCAAGAGCAGAAAGAATAGAATGTAAAAAGTGAACTTGCGATTATCGTTCGGGATTTCGGGTATATGTTGAACACGCTATTAGCCGCTTCAAAACTTTCAAACTCAAAATCAACCAGACCAGACTGTGAAGCTTTATACGGGTTTAGTAGACATCGATTGGTTGTTGTTTGTTGTTTGTTGTTCGTCCAGTGACAAATATTTCATGCATTTTTCAGGAAGAGGTTAAGTAGTTGAGTGTCAGATTGGAAATTATGCTCGAAGAACAGTAATTAATTTTTAAAAAATCAAACTGGCTTATTATGTAATTTTATTTCAAATCTAGAAGTGCAAACTTGAATAACGATCAACCCCCTCCCCCGCACACAGTTACACATTTCCCGGCCTATAAACATAACCAATGATATCAGAAAATAATCATTCTAAATTAATATAATTTTAAATGAACGAAAGAAGTGTGTAAATACCTGGTTAACATCACGCAAATTGAATTTTACCTGTTGTAATCGGTAACCAATGTTTTTACACAGTCCCCACATTTAAAGTCTAATTTGTCAACCTCAGCGTCGAGTATATACTTTTTCGTAACACGTCTATTGATTTTATATAATTAGTTCAATAAATATACTTGTTTAACTTTTTGTCAATATGCAACTTAATGTTAACATTATAAGACCCTGAACATTAAATAATAGATGTAGCGTGTGAAACACTTATTCTCCGCAAAAACGTTCATCCTGATCTTTGACCAATATACATTCTATTAATGACAATTGATTTTGTAATTTCTGAAAGTTATCTTTTAAATTAACATGTTTGGTGAAGGGAAGTCTTCAGGTGAACGCACACTGAAGCAAAAATAGCGTATAACGAGCACCTTGGGGGACACATTTTCACCGTAATTATTCATTTTAAAATATGTATTCCATTTAATATTGTATAATATGTAAATGCTTGCATTTTTCACGAAAAGGAACACATATGAAACAGAAATGAACTTACATCAAATAGCCTACTCGCTGTGCATCTGTATTTTTTCCATATATTTGTCTCCTGTCCGAATAGAAGCGCATGCAAATCTCTTCAAATGAACAAATGGATATCCCTGGAGGGGAAAAGATTAAATTGCCCATGAAAAGATTTTACGCTTTATTTTAGTCACTACGCACATGAGCGTAGAAAAATGGAAGGCGCGAAAAAGAAAGAATTTACAATTGAAGTTTGATTAAGGGTTATTTGGAAACACAAGAAGCTTCTCTTATTCATTGAGCAGATGGATACCAAGCATTTGGGTCATTTTCAAGTAAAATTTGATGACAGCTGTCCATTTGATTAAGATGAGCGGTTCATGGTATTTTTCAAGAGGTATTTTGAAAGAGATATACACATGTTGTGTAAATTTTGTCTTCTTCCCTTTTGTTCTCTCAACGAGAGGCGAAGTATACCAAAGGCACATTCAAACTCGAAATAAAACTGATAACGCCATGACCAAAAAAAAAAAAAAAAGACAAACAGACAAACAACAGTATACAAAACAACATGGAAAACTAAAGACTGAGTTATACGAACCCCACCAAAAACAAGGGGTGATCTCAGGTGCTCCGGAAAGATAAACAAATCCTGCTCAACATGTGGCACCCTCAGTGTTGTTCATATAGTACAAATATGTCTAATTCGGTAGGTCGCATTTGGGGAAAGTGGAAGAGATTGTTATTACGACAATGGAACATATCCGTCGTCATCTGTGAAACAGACTTTCCATAACGGTCAACTCGTAATGGCGTCCATACAATTTACGAAGGAATGATTTCAACTTCGCTACTTGGAACTCATGGTTAAAAAGTTTCCTTGTGAGCAGCTACCCTCTATCAAAGAAACATCGTATCAACTGGAAGATACTCTGTATGCAGGCGCTGCTGGGATGTTGCTAAATAGAAATGGAAAGTTCACAATTGGGATGCTGAACTCATCTCTTTTGTCCTAAAGTATTATTTTAACCGACCCATCATTTTCGATTTCTAGATGTAAGTCAAGATATGAAGCAGATTTAACTGTATCTGTTGTATCCTTTATCTCAAGTTCGATGGGGTAGATGCGTTCAACAAGGTCACCACATTTTGAATCATTTAGTAAGAGATCATCTATATAGAGAAAAGTGATATAGGGATACTTTAACTTTTTCCCTTCTTTATAAGAAGTCAGCCTTGTTTGAATAAAGGAATAAATCGGCAAAAAGGGGAGCACAGGTTGTTCCCATGGAAATGATTGTTTTTATTGGAAAAACACGTCCTCCACACTTAACAATTATGTTGTCAATCAAGAAAATTAAGCATCTCGATAACAATTGGAAACAAAACATGACCAAATCTTCGAATTTGTCTTTTAGTTCGGAATGGGCAATAATTGTGTAAAGTGTAGACAAGTCAAATGTGTTAATACTATTGCTAATACTAATAAAGCTGTCTGTTTTCCGTCTAGTGCAAAACAATTCATGAATATTAGGGACAAAACCAAATTAACAAATAATCAAAACAGTTGGTTCTGCAAAGTGGTTAGACTGACACGAAAAGTTACAAATGTAGACTGCCACATGTTGGATAGGGCAGATGTGTTAGCTGCAGCAGACCTACAATGTATGGCTGATCAAATTATAATACTTTAGAAGAAGTTTAAGATTAAAATGAACTTAGTCTATATGAAGTGTGCCAAACCCTCTCTGGTTTTGGGTGACTGAATGTTTTGTTATATATTTTCACAACGAAGAACAAGGTCAAATGCATCAAAATCAAAGTTTTTTTTAACTCCGTTTCTGTACAAATGACGAAAGATCAGCATAGATCACAGATTACTGATTTATAACTCCAGTCGGGCGTTTTGTCTACGCGGGACTTAAAAGTAAAGCACTTTTTCAAACTTAACTAGAAAATATAATCAATGACAACGGTGACATGCATACACACATGATATGACATTTAACAGAAATTAAAATTATTTTGTAACTGCAACATTTTTCTAGCAAAATGGAAAAAATTGTGTTTAATATTCTCAAATATTTTAGCAAACAAATGCAAGATAAAGTTTTAAAATATTATGTTTAAAGAGTCCTTGAACATGGTTTCTATGTAATTAATAGATAAAACATATAACATTTTGACCGTGAGATATTCAACGATCAGATCATTTGAGCGAGTAGTAGACCTAAACCATTAATTTAAATTGACCTGCTAAAGATTAAAAAGAAATATGATCATTGTTTGCCAAACACATTATTGTTTGTCAAGTTTAAATGTAATAAAGGCCTACATTTTTTTCAACTTGTTTCGTTTGTATAGAAAAACATTAAACATTCATGTATAATGTATGCTCTTTGTCGTACAAAAAATTAAATTGTTGAACGTATACGGAAACTTTTGAGTGACTTAAAAAACAATGAAGCAGGAAGAAAACGTGATTTAGTTTGATCTTGATTAAAATATGTTGTACAGACTGTAGCAGTTTTCAAATAAAGGATTAACTTAGTAACAAGATGACAGTTTAAATTACTAATTTTGCCTTTATATTTGTTAATGGATACTTGTTCAAATATGATTGAAAAAATGCTGAAACATCTTAAGATTTCGATTGTTCATGCAATATCAATATGTTATATTGTAGACGATCCAAAACGAGCACAGCAAATAATGACACACATTAAAAATTTGTGTGGCAACTGCTTTTTTAGCAATTTAATGCATTATTATAGAATGCAAATATTTATAGATAGCAATGATGCAATAATTATTAATTATATGAAATTTTAGTGTTTCCATGAGAAGGTTTTATCTCAATAAAAGAACATTCGAGGTTATTTATAGTATCTAGTGCATACACATTTAATGCAACAGAGCGCTTTGCAAGGTAAATCAAAAACAACAAAAGAGGTAGATAAATGTTCCAACTTGCATGGCCAACATGACAAGCGCCAAGTGTGATCATGAATCTGCTTACTTTTCAAAAGCGTAAGAGGTCAATCCCAATTTTTGTTCGGTTCGTGTTGATCATTTTTGAGATTAATATGTTGTGTTTAAGTACACTGTTCTTTGTGTGTAGTCATTTTCGTTTTTATATCAAGTCATTTTCAGTTCTTTTCGGTTTATGACTTTGGCTATTCCTTCGATGCCTTACGCTTCTTTTAAAATAAATTTTGATTATTAGATATGTAAAGGATAACTTACTGGACAAAAAGTAAAATAACAAAAATACTCCGAGGAAAATTCAAAACGGAAAGTCCCTAATCAAATGGCAAAATCAAAAGCTCAAACACATCAAACGAATGCCTAACAACTGTCGTATTCCTTACATGGTTCAGGCATTTTCTTGTGTAGACAATGGTGAATTAAACCTGGTTTTATTGCTAGATAAACCTGTCACTTGTATGGCAGTCGTCTAAAATTCCGTTATATTGACATCGATATGTGAACAAAACAAACAGACATAATATGTAAAATGTCAAAACTAGGGGTACTGCAGTCAGCATTGTGTTATAATCTTAATCACTATAAAAACAAACAAATAAGTCAACAAAGAAAGACAAAAAGGCATATATCATGTATAGACAAAGCACATTAGCAAAAACGAAAGACCAGAATACCAAAATTTACCATAGCACAATAACACAATGACAGGATGTATAAGTACCGAGCCACGTCCAATGGATATTACCAAAAAATAGCCTAAAAAGTAAAAGTACTAATATACATAGACAAATAAAAGAATAATATAACACGTTATTAAGATGATGAACAACGTCAGTACCTATAATCTATACTTCAAGACCGTCGTGCATTATTAGTGAAGTTGATACGGAATATTTATCAACAAGGTATCTTCCGATAAACGTTTCTTAGTAAAAGAATGAGACGTTCTTTGACAAAACTTTTGTTAATCAACTTTCTGCTCAGACACCGGTCACGTTTTACAAAGTCTGAGTAGCAGCTGCAAGCTCTTGAATACAGATTTAGCTAAGGAATATATATCCAATATGCAGGTGCAGTTGGTATATTGCTACTACGGTGGGGGAAATTGATAATTACAAAATTACAATCGTTTCGTTTGTCATAGATTCTGGTACTGAGATGACCGCTGTTGTCAAATTCGAGGTATAAGTCTAAAAATGTGACAGAGGAAGCCGTGTCTGTTTTTTTTTTTTTTTTTAATTTCTAGATCTAGATGATATATTAATGGAAACCAATCAAAAAAGTTCTTGCTTTTCGACAAATGTCTGAAGGAATTCCGACTCATATGAACATAAAAAGAGGTCGGCAAGGAGAGGCGGACAGTTCGTTCCCATAGGATTGCAAAGGTCATTAGCTAGCTTGTAATGAATGATAAATCATATTTCATCCTATAGTGTTCGAAAAACAAAATCAAGTTTATTGAGTTTGCTAATCTTCAAATTATCCATACATGATCGTGTTTAAAATATTATTAGAGTATATACACAAGAGATTCAAAATATGCACGTTGAATGTAGAAATTAAGGTTGTTTTCTGCTAGAATAACTTACCGATGTCCATAAAATTTCTCCTCCTCAGAATTGAATTTCTCAAGATATTGTTAAAAAACCTAATCTTCCTGATGACACTTTTAAATGTAAAACGTCTACAAAGGTCTTATCTTATCATAAGCATTGACACACTTCAGTAAATCTTAATAGCTCAATATTTAAATAAGTTGGTACAATGTAAATGATATGTGATATATTTATATCAATGCTTTTACGTAGTTTAATATAGATTATACTCGAGAATACGATATGTCTTCACTCCAGCTGGTTTAAATCTAAAATTAGTTCACTGTAGAGAGTGGAGTGATATTGTTTTCACGATTTCGTAACATCACATCAGATCAGAGGAAATGAAGTAAAATTTGACATAATAATTGACTTGTGGCCAATGCAAATCAGGAATCAAATACACATCATAATCAACTGTCTGGGGGTAAAAATAGATCAGACAGAGTGAACTTACGGAAAAAGACGATAAAATACGAAGTGAGTATGGATTCAAATAAAGGCAACAGTAATATACCGCTGTTCAAAAGTAATTAAATCGATTGAGAGAAAATAAATCCGGGTTACAAACTAAAACCGCGGGAAACATGTCTACTTTAAGAGGAAAACAATGAAACAACAGAAACACTGCAGTGTAACAATAGCTAACGCCAACATACATAGAAACGGACTATTTAATAACAACTGCCATATTCCTGACTTGGTACAGGGCATTTTAAGAAACAAATTGTGGGTTGAACCTAATTTTATGGCTATCAAAACCTTCCGCTTATAAAGCAATATTTAAAAATATCGCTAAAATGACAACACGACGTGACAGGAATACAGTACAAACAAACGCACGAACAGAGAAACGCATAAATAAATAATATAATAGTACATTTCAACATGTAAACCGCAGAATAACAACGGACATCTTCCTTTTACAACAGCACACCACACCACAAACCGTGATGTATTTTTGTGACGTATATATAATCTTGAATTTCATACAATTATATGAAACCAGATCCAAAAATTTACAATTATTTTCACAATACTAGTCCAAATAATTATCATGATTATAACGGTCTTGAAAGGCTAACGTTTCACTTGATAACTGTTGGTTTCAAAATCACGTATTTCCCCTGACACTTTTTAAGTTCTTTTCAAACAACTGTGTTTTATAAAAGTTAGCGTTTTGAAGAAACAGTTAGCATGTATTGGTGAGCCTCACCTGCAGCCTTAAACATGATTTTGATATTAGTCATAGATAGATATAAAAAGATGTGGTATGAGTGCCAATGAGACAACTCTCCATCCAAGTCTCAATTTGTAAAAGTAAACCATTATAGCTCAAAGTACGGCCTTCAACTCGGAAAATTGGCTCACACTATACAGCAAACTATAAAGGGCCCCCAAAATGACCAGTGTGAAACCATTTAAACGGGAAAACCAACGGTCTAATCTATTAAAAAACGAGAAACGAGAAACAGTTATGAACCACATCAACAAACGACAACCACTGAACATTAGGTTCCTGACTTAGGACAGGTGCAAACAAATGCAACGGGTTTAAACGTTTTAATATGCGCCAACCTTCACCCAACCTAAAACAATAGTGTAAAATCACAACAAAGAAAAACACACTATGAAATATCAATTTTTCTAAACATAGTGTTTAATTCAGATTTAAACTTCATATACTAAGTAAAGACACTGATCGTATATCATTGTGCACAGGAAATCACCAAAGCCGTCAATGTATAACTTTATCATTAAAAAATTAAGAATATGATATAAAGAAATGCATCGAAAAGGAAATTATTTGAAAAAAAAACATGTTGGTGTGAGATGTTTTCTCTGCCATATAAAGAAGTATAACTACCATTGATGTTCCGATATTTGTCGGTATTAAATTCGCACTTTTCTAAAAAATTTGAAGAATTTAGATTTGATTTAAATAAGGATATACTTGGCATTAGTAAAGTATTATCCTGTCCAGTACTACAGACAAAATATCACATACATTTTATTGCATATAAGATAAAAACCACTCAATGGAAGTTAACCAATCAAATTGTCACCCCCTTTTTCCAGTTTAAAAGATTTAGTAACCATGTAACCTCAAGTTTTCAAAATATTTTATTGACACACCAAATTAAAAATAATGATTACATGTATTTGAGACGCCCCAGATATATGTTTATGACTCAGACTCTTTTTCTGAAATGAAATGCAGGGTTAAATTTCTACCACTCTCAAATTCAGTTGAATATTATTGTTCGACCCTCTGTCGTGTGAAACCGGAGGTGACGTTCTATAATTTGGCAGTATTACACCCAAAGGACACCTCTATATTTACAACTGTCATACTTTTAGAATCCAAGGCCATGAAAAGTGTAGAATGAATATCCTTAATTTGCATGTCATCGAAAGGAAATGCATAGTTTTTGGGTTACAATACATATATTTGCTTGGTACTTTATAGGATATGCAGAAAGAATGATAATTACGATGTGTGTACATTAACGTTCATGTGTCCTTCGTTATGTTACCTCCTATAAATTTCTAAGAATAACATTGGTTAAAAGCGAACACGTGGGAACCGTGAATATTGAATATATGGTCAGTGGACGTGTTATATTTTAGCTACACAATCAGTGGGCGATGTTCAAATAATTGGTAAGTAGCAGAGTAAGTTTTCTCTTGTAAAAAACTCAAATTAACATTCATTGTAAATCTACTTAATTATGACGAGTTCATGCTTTTAGACATAAACATATCTGAGAGACGCTGACTTTCTCGGTGTATATTACTCATGTTCTGTTTGATGTTTTGTAAAAATTGTGATATCAAACTACGTCTAAACTTTCCATATTAAGGAAGTCGGTAAGATAAATTCGTCACATAAACGGGATCAGTAAATAAACGCAACAGTAGTATATCGCTGTTCAAGTCATACAGTACTTGCAACCTTAGGCGTAACTGTTTTAGCGATCAGTCAGCGGTCATCGATCAGTCACCGATCAGTCAAGTTTGCGTCAAACTCACGTCAGCAATCCGTCAGACTTATAGTAAAAATATTTGACTGATCGGACGGATCTGACGGATCGGACTGATAGACCTTTCTGACGGATTGAACTCTACTACGTCACATGATTAACTAATACAAATTACGGAATCTTAGTTTCGTTTCATTTAATTAAAATGGCGCCACGGAAAATACGAAACGTTCAAGTACAATAGATCAACATTTTTATTAATAATTATTCGGCAAAGTTTTAAGAATTTAAAAATAAAAGAAATATACAAATAAAACTGATTTTAAATATTATTATAAAAGAATGGTGATTTTCGTTATTATTTAGGTTATAAATTTTCATACCCGAAGAGTGCTAAAATGATTTTTATCGCGATTGGGAATTTTTCCCCGAAAATGCTCCATTAAAATAAAGAAATGATAGCATTCTTATTCAACAAAAACAAAAGTGTATGCATATTTATCCTTCAATTATTCACATTGTTTACAAAATTACTTATCTAAAGGTATTTATAATGACTGATTGCAATTGACGTTCCATTATTTCTGATAAAAAAAGAAGAAATATTTGCATTTTTAAGCAATGCGAACAAAAATTTAGTATCTTTTCCCTGAAATTCAGCATAATTTTTGAAAAACAACCAATTCTGATGTACATATACATGTAGTACTGAAATCAAATGGCGGTTCATTATTTCTATCAAAATAAAGAAATTTTTGTATTATGTTTTCAACAAAAACCAAAGTTAAAGTATTATTCTACTTTCATTATTAAAATTCTTATAAAAAAACTTATCTCGAGGCCATTGAAATAACTAGTTACAAATAACATTGCATTTTTTTTATCATAAAAAGAAAAATTGGTAATTTTAAACAATGTGAACAATATTTTTGTATATTTTCTCTGATATTCTTTTAATTCTATGAAATACAACCAATCCTGAACTACAAAAAGTACAAAATCCAATGGCGGTCAATAATTTCCATTCAAATAAAGAAATGATTGCATTCTTATTCAACAAAAACTAAATTTTATGCATATTTATCCTTCAATTATTCACATTTTATACAAAATTACTTATCTAAAGGCATTTATAAAGACTGATTGCAATTGATGTTGCATTATTTCTGATATAAAGGAAAAAATATTTGAATTTTTAAGCAACACGAACAAAAATTTAGTATCTTTTCCCTGATATTCAGCATAATTTATGATCAAACAACCAATTCTGATGTACAAAAAGTACTGAAATCAAATGGCGGTTCATAATCTCTATCAAAATAAAGAAATTATTGTAGATGTTTTCAACAAAAACAAAAGTTTATGTATTATTCTACTTTCATTATTAAAATTCTTACAAAAAAAATTATCTCGAGGCCTTTGAAATAACTATTTACAAATAACATTGCAGTTTTTGTTATCATAAAATGAAAAATTGGTAATTTTAACCAATGCGAACAATATTTTAGTATATTTTTCTCTGATATTCTTTTAATTCTATGAAAGACAACCAATCCTGAACTACAAAAAGTTCAAAATCCAATGGCGGTCAATAATTTCCATTCAAATAAAGAAATGATTGCATTCTTATTCAACAAAAAACAAAAGCTTATGCATATTTTTCCTTCAATTATTCACATTTTATACAAAATTACTTATCTAAAGGCATTTATAATGACTGATTGCAATTGACGTTGCATTATTTCTGATATAAAGGGAGAAATATTTGAATTTTTAAGCAACACGAACAAAAATTTAATATCTTTTCCCTGAAATTCAGCATAATTTATGATAAACAACCAATCCTGATGTACAAAAAGTACTGAAATCAAATGGTGGTTCATGATTTCTATCAAAATAAAGAAATTATTGTATATCCATTCACCATAAATAAAAGTTTAAGTATTATTCTCCTTACATTATTGAAATTCTTATAAAAAAAAATTATCTCGAGGCTTTTGAAATAACTAGTTACAAATAACATTGAATTTTTAGTTATCATAAAAACAAAAATTGGTAATTTTAAACAATGAGAACAACATTTTAGTATATTTTCTCTGATATTCTTTTGGTTTTATGAAAAACAACCAATCCTGAACTACAACAAGTACAAAATCCAATGGCGGTCAATAGTTTCCATTAAAATAAAGAAATGATTGCATTCTTATTCAACAAAAACAAAAGTTTATGCATATTTATCCTTCAATTATTAACATTTTATACAAAATAACTTATCTAAAGGCATTTATAATGACTGATTGCAATTGATGTAGCATTATTTCTGATATAAAGGAAGAAATATTTGCATTTTTAAGCAAGGCAAACAAAAATTTAGTATCTTTTCCCTCAAATTCAGCATAATTTATGAAAAACAAACCATGCGATCCTAATGTACAAAAAGTACTGAAATCATAATTTCTATCAAAATAAAGAAACTATTGTATATGTATTCAACAC